ATACTTCTAAATATCTCCAAGAGACTAATTATGATGGGACACTGTGTCACAGCATCCAGTACAGATCAGGAGACAAACGGTACATGTTGGTCGGACCCAGGATGAGTATAGGATCTACTATAGTACCAGGAAGTCATGCAAATACACTTGTGCTTCCTGACAGGAGAAGAACATCTGAAGAGGTAAGATTATGTTTAAACTGTTTGATGAGACCACTATGACCTTAAAAAAGTAATATGTTTGGAGTAGTAAATCTGCCTGTACACAAGACCAGCAGAAGCCATTGTAATTTTTGATTCCCCACACCATATTAGAATGCTACAATTTATTTCCATTCAACTCCATGTCTATTTTTTCAACAGTTTTGGATTATGTTGCATTACATTTTCTTTAGTTTTTGTTTTTTTTTGGGTATATTTAGGTTTTGTTATCATCTCAAAAGGACCTTCTGCCTTAAAACCTTTCAAGGAAGGTAATAATTAATGTTTAAACTTAATGGTAAAATAAATCATCTCACATTTTTATACTTTGTAGTGTCCGTTCAACAGCTATATATGTTTTGGTAATATTTAGATCAGTTAATTGTGAAATGGTGAGTCTCTGAAAACCCTTAAGCTTATTGCTGTCCATGGATCCTGAATTTAAAGTCTGTGATGCAGGTAAAATGGCATCATGTTAACTACAAAATAGTGATCCAGTTTCACAAAACAGTGCTTCTTAGCCTCAAGTGATTGACTTTCATTGTGCACTATCCCATAGCATCTTATAAAGACTCTGTCTACAAGCTGTATATATTAGCTGAAGCAAAGCTAAATATGATTTCTAGGATCATACACAACAAACTAAAATAACTAGAATATCAAAACAACTTGTAAAAAATAGTGTAAATATTTTATTATTATATAGTAAAAAAAATGAATTCATAACTGAGCCTGGAATGTTTTGATACATTTTAAACACTTTTAGGAATTGCCATTCTCTTTTTCATTTTGCATATGTTTTAAGAGTTTAGACTATTTAGAGACTAAAAACTTAAACAAAGAAAAATAATATATTGGTACTGCAACAGCAGCTCGCATGGGGGCGCTGCTTTTGCAATTTTACCCGGGTGGAACTCCAATTTAATATTTTGGAGGTTTTGCGGAAGGGTAAGCCTGTGCTTTAGGGCGATGCCCAGAGATCCGACGGTGTAAATCAGTTCATTGATTCATATTTTTTTCTAAAAATGCATCTTACTGTTTTTGGTATAAACTCGTGTTTAAGAGGTAGATTTTGTATCCTTTTTGTTTTGATTTGTTTTTAATTCTTCTTTTTTTTTTTTTATTCGCCATGGCACGAAGAGGATGCAATGCGTGGTTTGAGCATCGGCTCATCTTTATTTTTTGTTTGGGTTTCACTTTTGATTTTTCTTCGGGGCAGCTCAGATACTCGTTACCAGAAGAAATAACAACGGGTGCTGTTGTTGGAAATATTGCTAAAGATCTGGGGATGGAGCCAAGTGTTTTAAAGGCCAGAGATTTTCGCATTGTCTCTGGATCGAGTGATGCGCTTTTCCAGCTTAACAATAACGGAGTCCTTCTCGTCAGCCAAAAAATAGACCGAGAGGAGGTGTGCAACCGGATCGCCACCTGTATTATCAACATAAAAACTGTGTTGGAGGATCCCTTAGAGGTACATTATGTCACCATCGAGGTATTAGACGTGAACGACCATTCTCCCACATTCCCCGTTAATGAAACACATTTAGATATATCAGAATCGACCATATCGGGGGCTCGGTTCCAGCTGCAAGGCGCACTGGATCCAGATAGTGGTTTGTTCTCTGTTCAACAGTACAGGCTGAGTCAAAACGATCATTTTCGTTTAGAAGTTAAAGACAGGGGACATGATGGTAAAATTCCTGTTTTGTATCTCCATAAACCGCTGGACAGAGAAGCTACAAGAAGCCATAGATTGCTGCTCACGGCGGTTGATGGAGGAAAGCCTGCCCGATCAGGAACGATGGGAATAGTTATAAATGTTTTAGATGTAAACGACAACATGCCAGTATTTGCTAGGGAATCATATACTGCGGAGCTTAATGAAAGTTCACCTGCTGGAACAACAGTAATACAGGTAAATGCCACTGATAAAGATGAGGGTCTAAATGGAGAAGTAGTTTATTCTTTTGGAAATAATGTAAATTCTGAATTACGTGAACTATTTGAAATTGATTCAGTTACAGGAGCTATTATTGTCAAAGGACTCATTGATTATGAAGCAAAGGATAGATATGAAATTGATGTCATTGCATCTGATAAAGGACCAGTCCCTCTGTCCACTGAAAAAAGTGTTATAATAGTTGTTGTAGACCAGAATGATAATGCACCTGAAATAGAAGTGACATCCTTATCAAGTGCAATACCTGAAGACTCCAAACCTGGAAGGACAGTAGCTCTGATAAGTGTTAGTGATGAGGATTCAGGTATAAATGGGAAGGTCATATGTTCTATAACTGATGATGTACCTTTTACATTAACACATTCCCTACAAGAAAACATGTTTTCGATTGTTACAAAATCTCTGCTTGATAGAGAACTTAAGTCAAAATATGAAGTAACAATATTTGCGAGAGATGCTGGTGAACCACCTCTGACAGCTAAAAAGACAATAAGTGTAACAATATCTGATGTGAATGACAATAGTCCAGAGTTTTCAACAAGCCCATATACTTTTTATGTTAGTGAAAATAATGCTGCTGGAGCCCTATTATTTTCAGTGACTGCTGTTGATTATGATGAGGGGGACAATGCCCTCATATCATACACTATACAAAGAAGGGGCGGTGAACACAACAAGATGATATCATTTCTCAGTATAAACTCTGAAACTGGAGACATTGTGGCACTGAAAAGCTTTGACTTCGAAACCCTGAAAACATTCCAGTTTCATGTTATTGCATCTGATTCTGGGACTCCATCACTGAGCAGCAATGTTACAGTAAATGTTTTCATTTTGGATCAGAATGACAACCCTCCAGTCATCCTCTATCCAGTCAGCTCCAACGGTTCTGCTGAAGGTGTGGAGGAGATTCCCCGCAATGTGAACGCAGGACACTTGGTGACTAAAGTCAGAGCCTATGATGCTGATATAGGTTATAACGGTTGGCTGCTGTTTTCACTGCAAGAAGTTACTGACCACAGTCTGTTTGGTTTGGACCGCTACACAGGACAGATCCGAACACTTCGCTCATTCACAGAGACAGATGAAGCTGAACATAAACTGGTCATACTGGTCAAAGACAATGGCAACGTTTCCCTCTCCGCAACAGCTACAGTGATTGTGAAACTTGTGGAGCCAAAAGAAGCTTTTGCCTCTTTTGATGTGAAAAGCACAGCAAAGGACGATGAAGATAATGATGTGACATTTTATCTGATGATCACCCTGGGTGGAGTTTCAGTGTTATTTATCATCACTATAATTGTTCTTATTACAATGCATTTCACCAAATCTACAGACTCTACTTCTAAATATCTTCAAGAGACTAACTATGATGGGACACTGTGTCACAGCATTCAGTACAGATCAGGAGACAAACGATACATGTTGGTCGGACCTAGGATGAGCATAGGATCCACTATAGTACCTGGAAGTCATGCAAACACACTGGTCCTACCTGACAGGAGAGGAATGTCTGAAGAGGTAAGACTATATTTGGATGGATTTTGATAAAACCAGTATGGCTTGAAAAAGTAGCAGTATGTCATGTTTGGAGTGTTAAGTGTTTCTTTTATATAAACCAGCTAAGCCACTGCCCTTGTAACCGACATAAGGCAAGAATGCCACAGTTTATTACCACTACATTCCATGCCAACTTAGTCAGTCTGTTTTGAATTATTTTACAATAACTATTTAGAACTTTGTTTTCAGTTTTGTAGTTTCTCTGTCTGACTTTCTGGTTGTTTATTATCTCATAAGTGTGTCCTATTTGAAGAAGTGTGTAAGAGGCTAAGATTTAATATTTAAATGTCATGGTTCATCACATTTTCTCACAATTTATAGTTAGTGGTGTGGCTGGTCAATAGTTATTAATTTCTTATTTTTCTATGTCTAATAATTGTGACAGTGTGACTCTGAAAATTATTTGGCTTATCACTGTCCCTGGTGCTGAATTTGCAGTAAGACTTATCTTTATGTGCTGTTTATATGACAAAAGCGAGCTTTGTGGTGTAGTTGCAGCAGGGTTATGTTAATTGTAAAGTTGTGTTCCAACTCCATAAGACAGTGCTTCTAAATCACGTTAAGCATTTGCTTTAATGGGACACTGTGTTTTAGTGTCTAATTAAAATCTGTCTTCAGACTGTATATTTTAGTTGAAGCAACTATACATATGAGTTATAACGTCATACGCAACAGATGTACAATATCTAAAGAAGCAGAAAAAGGACTGGAAATTTGAAAGTGATATTAAATTTAGTTATTAATATGAATCTATAACACAGCCTTTATTGTTTTTAATGATTTTAAGTAGTTTGGGGATTTATTAGTATTTTTTAAATATTGTTTTTTCTTTCTTTTTTTTGTTTTTCACAACTTTTAAGAGGTTAGAATGTTTTGTGACTAAAATGTAAACAAGGATAGGCTACATATTATATTTGTATAGTAACAGAAGCTCGCATGGGGGCGCTGCTTGTAAAATTGTA